GACCTGAGCAGCGCATAGACTGGGGTCATCTTAGGTCATTGTGGGGTCCTTAGGTAGGACCAGATGTAGCAATGATTATCATCGATCTGTTGGGCTAGTCTGCGACTCGCAGACTAGCTGACTAGCGGATTGAGCGGATTGAGCAGATTGAGTCGCCCAAAGCTGATGCTGTGGCTCTATCTAGTGCAGCGATTTTTGCATTTGTTGATTGGCATTTGGGTGGATGGGCAGGAAGGGCATGAAGGAAGGGGAGGTGTAGCTTCATTTAGGAGCGTTTGACGGTTGCAGGGAAGATAATCTATCGCCTGCTGGATGCAAAGAGGATGCTGCAAATCTACAGGCCTCGCATCCTTCGCTGGATTGTGGATGCTCTGCTTGGGAATCTAAACCAGATGTTGCTTGCGCATCTAAAGCATCCAAAGAGCATGCTTCAATATGGCCAGATTGTTGGGGCAATAATAATTTTCACACCAGAAAGTCAAACCGCGGTGAAGAAAGGAACCCATTATTCTCGTGAAAAAGCCAGCAGCCGACCGGATTATTTATGGGATGCCGAAGAACAGACAGACTTTGTGAGGTTGCTGACTTGCCTATTCCAAAGCTCACAGGAAAACTGAAGACTCACCAAATGTCCCGACATGTCCAGTTTTGTGGGCCAGTGCCGGTGCCTGTTGTTTCGGTATATGGACATGTTGTGAGCTGCAATTTGGCAGGCAACAGCTTTTGGGGCACAAAGAGGAGGCCAGCAGTTGCTTTTCCCAAGAAATCAAAGGAACATCGCTTTCAGTGGAGGCTCCAGCGCCTTGCTTTTGGCTATTTCTTAGGGCATATCTGGCATGTCCAGGTTCATGTTCACATGGACATGTCAGATGACCCAGGCGGCTCAGGTGTGTAAGAAGGGCTGTTCATTCACACGACGGACAACTCCAGACGCGGAACTCAAGGCTCTCGGCATCGATGATGTCCTTGATGAGCTAATCACAACAATCTTGGATCCAGGCCAAGAACCTGCTGTACATGTTTGTTTCGTGGCACGGCAAGTTGTGTTTGGCTCCTGCACTGCGGCGTTCACAAGCACTTTGAGATTGTTTAAAGATCAGCTTCAGGTCCTTAAGGTCCTTGGTTGATTTCATTCAGCTTGGGAAGGTTTGACGAAGGTGGCGGCGGGACATGAGCTGCGACCGCAGGCTCCGGGGTCTTGTTTCCTTCACTTTCCTGTCCTTTCTTTTCCTTTCTTTCTTTCAACAGGAGTTGCTTTGTGGATGTCCTCGTTCGCATGACTCCAGTTCGCCTGTTTCAGTTGTGCGCAACTGGTGAGGAAATGGACTTGCAGTTGACGCTGGTGAGCGCCTTGAAGGATGAGCCGATCGACCGGGACGTCCGACCTGGTCTCGCCCAGTCGTTGGCAACCATACTTCCCATTAGTGTTTGGAGGCCACCTGATCCATTGGTCTGGCTAGGAGTGGTCCAAGTTGGCTCCGCACTCCTTTGACCAAGTGATTGGAAGGGTTGTCATGTGCTCTTTCTTTATATGCAATGTAGGGATTCTGATCCAAACCAGCTGCCAGGACCTGTACATGGCCACAAGTTCGACTACGCACAAAACGGACGGATATATGCGTCGTCGCGGGTGCTTGCGGGCCAGCGGCCAAGCGCCCCATGTGATAGTTACAAGGGGATGATGAGAAGCTGAAGCCCACAGAAGGCCACTCATCACAAGGCGCTTTACACACCTCACTAATGGACCTGGAGAGGGTCGAGAATTGTTTTCCTCAGATTCAATGATCAGAATCCTTAACTAATCATTTGGTCTTGCACTACCACAACCAACTTGTCATCCATGCACCTCAATGCCTTTCGTATCATGGAGTACATCGGGCACATGGGGTTTGGTCCTAGGTACAGAATAGTATCCCAGACGTCACTGCAGCTTCCATTTTAGGATCATCCAACCACCTGCTATGAGCCCGGTAAGAGATGGTTTACAGGTTCTCAATGGCCCCACCACACACTGCCGCATTGGGTTTGGCCAGGAGCCCCCCACCCTGCGGGAGCCCATTAGTACCAAGGTCATGTACCGAGCTCAGAGATGGGAGGCTTCTGCAAGGAGTGGAAGGAGTGGGAGTACTGGCCTAAAGTCCTGGCAACGCCCAGACTCGTTTCACTCTAAACCGCTTTCGTCTCAGCTTCAAGTCCCCCGGCTGTTGCTGTTCCTACTCCTTCGGCTGTTGATCTTCCACTCATTTATGGTCTTTAGCTGTTTTGTTGCCTGTTGCCCTGTGTGGTGCAGGTGGAGGTACCAACATGGATACAATGCTTGGTGTTCTTTCATCAGACAACACCAGTTCAACGTTTGAACCCTTTGTTTATGCCACACAAACGTTATACGCTTTGTCAGCATTGCCCCTGCGGCTCGAGGTACTTCCTTCAGCGCGCACGAGAGAAGACGCTGACCACCATGGAGCGGGGGGGCAAAAAGGTGGTTGATGTTTGTTGCGTCCAGCTGCGGAAGGTCGGAAGGAAGGAAGGAAGGAAGGATTGGGAATGCCCGTCGCTGTGGAATGTCCGTTGGACAAAGCAGTTTCCTGGCAGTTTGAATCCAACCCGTTGTTCATCGATTGGTGCTCCGGTTTTCTTGGCCGCTTGCCGCATACCGGTGGCTCCGGATGCCATGGCGATGTTCTGTAGCATGTTTGTTCGAGAGCGAAACCAAGACGACCAAGATTGCTAGTAGTAACAAGTGCATCGCTTCTAGTAACAAGTGCCTTACTAGTAGTAACAAGAAGCTATTAGTAACAAGTGCCACGCTACTAGTAACAAGTGCCTTACTAATAGTAACAAGAAGCTAGTAGAAACAGTTCTTCTTCACCTCGCGCCTTCGAAGACGACCACCCGGACGATCACGGATGTATCCAGACCACGACGGCCGATGTGTCCGATTCGAAAGATGGCCGACCCAATCGGGATCGACGTGAGGAGACAGTCCCTGTGGTCCAGGTTGGGTGCGATTGCGCTTCTACGTTTGTGTTTCTTAAGTTTCAGGTGCAGATGGCAGAAGGTCTTTGATTTCTGAGTCATTTTTCCTGTCTAAAGGGGTATTTTAATCAATTTGATGAACCACAGGTGCCTTAAAACCCAGAAGAAACGGAATACCACTTACCACTTCCTGAGATTCCTTGTCCGCAGTCATTTCAGCACACCCCCCTGTCCAAGAATGGGTACTCCCCAGGGAACCTGGCGCGTGATTCTCACGGCAAATGTTTCCAGAAACGTTCGCCGGGTATGGCGAGTCGGTCAAGCTGAATGTACTTTCTGTCCCTGCAAGCGCAGGCAGAAGATTGGCGGGTTTGCGCCATGTTGGGAGCCACCTGTAAGTGCAAAAATGGCTTGGTGCGCTTGGCAATAGGCCTGGAGGCCCAGCATGTTGAGTGTACATATTTATGTGTGTATGTGACTGTATGTGTGTATATGTTGGGTCCGTCCTATTGCCTGTAACAGTCAGTAAGCAAAATATTTACTATTGAACAAGGCCTTTACCAACCATCATCGACTATTGCTGGTAATAGGATAGACCGATAGACCTAATGTATTTGTGTGTATGATTGTGTGTATATGATGTGTGTGGTTGGAATCTCTCGGGACCCACTGCCACTCTCGTGTGCTCTCGTGTGCTGTCTCCCACCTTGTCGCAGATGTTCCACGTTACCGTTCGTAGCTTCTTGTTACTGGTAAGGCCAAGAGCTACCTGCGTAGCGTCCGAATCACTCCGGTCGCCTACGCGATGCCCCCAACATGTGACGTTCGCTACGCGATGCTTCTTCCATCGAAGCAACTCCCAGGAACCGACGATGCGGCCATGGCCAAAGACTTAGACGCTCACCCATTGTGGAGCCGACCGGAAGAGGGCAGTCCCGGCGTGCTGGTCATGTCAGTTGGACAGGTAGGTCCAAGGAGGACTATTTGTACTTAGAGGGAAGAAGACACATTGAAGAACCAAGAAAAATCAATGAAGTTATTGAAGTTAAGATACATTTTTCTTTTTATGTTTTGTTTCTTCCAAAAATGGACAGCCCTTCCGTTGGACATGGTGTCGTTGGTATTCGGCGCAAGGTGGTGAGCAGTGTGAAGGCCGTGGCCAGCCAGACCTTTTGCGCGGAAGACGGCTTTCAAGTCACCTGGCTCGTTCGTTACCGGGTCGTCACCTGGAAGGATTCCATCGATTTCCCCAACGGCTAACGGCTAGATTTTGCTCTTGAAATCAAAGCTAGGAAAGGGGCACGAAGTGGCACGGAAACCCATGGTTTCACCAAGAAATGCCATATGTTTGGAATGCGTTCTGCAATATGTTTGGCTCACAGAGATTTTCTCTCAAAGCTAACCGAGTCTCAAAAGAGAGTCTTTAGAAATGATCTCCCCAGCAATCTTCCCTGCTCTCTTGGGCAAGTTGTGCCGCTCATACTTGGGTGGCTGGAAAGTGGCGATTTGCTATTTGACCGGATCCTGGTCCGCGCACGCAGACGCCACGAAAGAGATCCAGGAACTCTTTGTGTCTGTTCCAACGGGACCCACCTTGATCATGAACGTGCTATCCTATGTACCTTTCATGTTTTGCTTGAACTCTCTGGCTGGCTTCTCACTGGAATACCAGCGTTTCATTGCTTTATACTGCCTCACACCAACTCTTCTCATGGGCTTGGTCTACTACTATTACATCTTTCGATCCAACATGTGGAACTTCACCGTTTCCACAGTAGCTGGATGGCTCAACAACTGGGTCATGATGATGGGCATCTCTTTGGTCTCCTTCTCTCAGATTGCCCTCCGCTATCTGGCTCTTCTCGCCTTGGAGAAGCTTTTGCCCAGCGCGTGGCAGGGGTACATGACCTTTCCGCTCAGCACCATTGAAGCTTCGGTTCAGCACACCGTGCTTCTACTCTACGGTCTGGGGGGCGGCTTTTGTGCTCTCTGCTCCTCTGTGGTGCAAGGGGTATCGTGTTGTGATGGAAGCGATTGGGCGAGAGAATCGCTTGAGCACCTCAGAGGCCATGATGGAGATCGTGTACACCACATCGCAGGCAGGCACTGTCTTGCAGTTGCAGACAGCCTTGGCGATGATTCAGGTCAGATTTGGTTGTCCCTTCCACTTCATCCACTTCGTGGTGGTCATTGTGGAGCACATCTTCTTCCATTACATGGTGCAGTTCAAATTTGCTTGGCTGCACAAGCTTTATCATGAAGTGCAGCCCTTTCATCGCCTTGTTCACTTGGAGCATCACATTTGCAAAGGTACATACCCAACGACACCAGCAGCAGGGCTTTGGGAAGGATGGGTTGAAGGAGGCACCCTATTCTTCTGCAACACCCTCGCTTGTGTTCCATATTTTCTCTTCCATGCAGCCTATTCTGGTCCCAATGTAGTGACGCACAATGTGTGGCCACACAAATCCTTGATCCAATGGCACACTCTTCACCATGTTGTGCACAGCGACATCTATGCTGTCAATGTCCCCAGTGAAAGCGACGAGAAGTTTTCCAGGGATATCAAGCATTACAAGGCCGGGCCGGCAAGCAATCAAGCCAGTATTTGGAGCATTTAGGTCTAAGAGTCTAAGATGCACCCACCTAACAGTGATGGCCTCCATCCTAATGGCCTCCAAAGTATTTGGAGCATTTAGGCCTCCAAAAAGCCAGTATTTAACATTTAGGTCTATGATGCACCAACCTAACGGCGATGGCCTCCAACCTAATAGTGATGGCCTCCAAAGCCAGTATTTGGAGCATTTAGGTCCAAGATGTTCCAAACAAAGACGATAACATATAGAAGGGATTCAGTTGCACCCTTTTCCTGCGAGCAGAGTTCCCGGTTTTCGTGTTTCCAAGTCTGAAATCGGGTCACCTGTCAACAGGAGCGGCTGAGCCAGTACTCTCCCTTCATCAAGTACAAGTTCCCCTCAGACCTGGCAGGCTTTGCAATGACGTTCATCGTAGGTTTGGTTTTGCATCAGTGCGGCGTTGGGCTTTTCCATGTGTGGCACGAGCGAGAGCTGCACTTCGCCTGAACCGCTCCACTTCTTTCTTTTTGAAATAGATAGGGTCTAACATGGGCCCAACTTGAGGTTTTCGGTCAAGACAGGTCAAGACGACCCGAGGGCAAACTTCTGGTCTGGTCGGACCTGCTGACCCGCAGGGACCATCGCACAAAAGGAGTCGACGCGTCTACGGACCACCGATGGCTTTGGGTGTTTTGCGGTCGCTTTCGTGGCATTTGTGTTTTCACGACCTGCCCTCTGACATACCTTCGACTCACGCTGCGCACAGATCCAAACGACTTCTTCCCAACCGGATGCTTCGCTCCGGGGGTCCCCAGCGGCTTCTCTTCTCGAGAAAACGACGCTTTGAAGCCCAGGTCGAAGTGATCCAACCGGTTACAGGACCGTGGAGAAGACCGTGGACGGTGTTGCGAACGAGCGGTACTGGGCAGTGCCGCTTGTGTTTCGACCGCTCGGCAGCTGCTTCTTCAGGAGATGTCCCCATGAAGAGGCACCGTGAGTGAATCTCAGCTCTTGGGGAGGAAGCCAAGATGCGAGTTGATGGTCTTTGCAGGTTGTAAACCAAAAGTGACAGCGGCAGCGTTGTTGAGCACTGACAGCATCATTCCTTGAAGCTAGGAAGATTGGAAGGTTGTCATCCAATGAGCTGCTGGACAGGTGGTGTGAATGCATAGAACCACAAGCTTCTGCTCAAGGACAGTTGCGCCGGGGACCTGAGTCGCTTGTTGCGTTTCTTCTCTTAGAAGACAAACCTGTCCAGATGCTTTGAATCCATCGAATCCTTGCAATTTTCCCAAATTCAAGAGATCAACGCGAGTTTGAGCGCAGCTCACCGGGTGACGGGCCTCTGCGGCTGGCTGTTAGGTTCTCATTTCAAGCTGCTCAACAGGGAGTTCGCGGCGGTCTTCTGTGAGGCTCGATCTGGGCGTTTGAACCAAACGGAGACGGATCCCTAACGGCGACATGATCAGGTTTGACATGAGACAGTGTTCACCTGCGTCGACGTACAGCAAGACACCTTTGTCATCCTTTGTCTATTTGCAGACCGAAAGACAAGAGGTATTGTTGCTTCTCCCAGATGTTAGCACCCCAAGAGTGCGTGCCGGGAGCAGCAAGTCTTGGCCTGTTTGGTCTTGTTTCAGTGTACTTTTTTGTAGTTTGCCGCCCCAAACAGGAAAAGCACCGCAACGTCGCACACGAAAGAATCTAAGAACTACCAGAAAAGAACGCTTCGCATCGCGCAGGGGCAAGCACAGCAAAGTCAGAAGTCTTTGCAGCAACAGGAAAGCACAAAGATGATGGCAACGACGACAATATATGTAATAGCTAGAAGGAAAGGTAGCGCCGACCGATAGCGCTACGTGTCGAATACGCAGTGGTGCGGCTCAAAGAAGGTCTTTGGGCCAGGGACCGGGGCGCCATGGCGTCGGACAGTGGGTCACTCCCACCTGCTGTCCGAATCCTCCTTCATGAGGGTTGGCAGCTACCTACGGTGGCTTTCTTTCACAGGATGCCGGACGAAGAGATCCGGGCAATGCTACCATCCATGGCGCGAGGTTGGACACCTGGAGAGATGGATGGCTTGCGGCAAGAAGCCAAACGCCAGAAGCGGCTGATGGACATCGAGGATGGTGCTTTCTACCACCACCAGAAGTTGCTCTACAAGGACGCCTCGACGGTGGAGAAGGTGATCGGCAACTTGGCTTCGACCTTGTCGGAGGTTGGCACTTCGCTGGTGCTGGCTAGAAAGACAATGCCCAGAGTGACTTGGAAGTCACGCTTGCAGAAGGCCTTGGCTAATGCACCTGATGATCAACACCGAGCCAAGGCCGAGGAGAAGGAACGCCAGCGTTGGATTCGGGAGCTCATGATGCTGCTCGAAGATGCAGGTTTCTTGGCGAGCCTGGCGAGGGATCCCGAGGCCACGAAGCAATTGGCATCCAGAGTGGCAGCAGGCAGGAGGGCATCGACGCTGAGACAACATGTCAAGTACGGTAGGAGGTTGCAGGTTTACATGGAGTCCATCTACGGCACCGCGTGGCTCAGATCTCCAGGTGATTTTATAGGGTATGTGGCCCTGCTGCTCGAAGAACCATGCGGCCGCAGCGTGCCAGGGTCTTTGTTCAAGTGTCTGGCATTCCTAGAAGCTGCAGCTGAGGTGTCACCTGAGAAACGGCTGTCCAGTGCGCAGTCGATCCACAACTACCTCAAGGAGGTTGAGCAGGGCACGACTTGGAAGGCGCGGCAGCGGAACAAGGCAGCCCGCATTCCGGTGGAGGTTGCAAGAGCATGGGAAATTGGGGTCCTCGACGTGACCCTCCAGTCCTTCAAGAGAATCTACTGCTGGTATAAGCTAATTAAACTGTGGGGGGGGCTTCGTTCACATGACAGTCAAGGAGTTCCTCCGTCCACGCTGGAGTTCGACCCGCTGGTGGGCCTGCAGGGCGAGATCTTGAGGGCTAAAACAACGGGGGTCGGCCGCCGAGTAGAAGTGGTCCAGTTTTACGTGGCTGCTGAAGCTTGGCTGGTGCACAAGGACTGGCTGAGGGTCGGTCTCCAGCTGTTCACGACTATGAACAAGGACGCTGACATGGAGAGGAGGGACTTCTTGATGTGCAAGCCCAATGAGAGTTTGAGAGGGTTTCGAAAAGGCATGCTCTCCTACCCCGAGGCGATGTGCTACTCGCGAGCCCTTCACACCGAGCTCTACTCGATCAGGTTGGATGAGGATGGCCAGCCGCAGAAGCTGATGATACCTGAGGCCACCTCGTACTGGTCTGAGCACTCGGAGCGGGTGAGGGGCGCTGGTCGCCAGGGGTGGATGAGGAGTATGCGGTGACTTCAAAGAGGGTGGTGATGCAGGCACAGGCTCATGTGGCAGGAAAGATCAAGGCGCAGTACAGCATCACCGACTACACGGATGACAGGTCGGTTCTCAACAACTTTGCACTCTGGCTTCAAGCGGTACATGGGATGACCCCGACTCAAGCGCACGCGGAGATCATGAAGATCGCACCTCCCACTTGGGGAGGCATGGGAAATGGACCATTCCATGTGCTGTCGAAGCCGATCAAGAAGAAGGCGGAGGGCCCGGAGGTTTTGGAGGTTTTGGAGTCCCCCACTGAGGTGTTCAGCGACGATGAAGTGATGGACGACCCGGCTCCGGAGGAGAGGTATAACCTGGGCACCTACATCTTGTCGGTGGTGGGCAAGACCAAGAGAAGGACCTTGCACGTGATCGGCGGCTGCTATCGGGTTCCGGGTGTCCACTACCGCGACTTCGTGGTGGTCGGAATGGAGAGGCCTGAGATCCTCCCGGACCAAGGAGAGCGTTTGTGCTCCACATGTTTCACGAAGAAGGACAGCATAGCGGAGGCCCTTCAGCAGGGCGAAGATGGCGAGCACTCGTCAGGTTCGGAGTCCTCCTCAAGTGAGGGCGTGACGGACGAAGACGCCTGACCGGCGAGGTCGCGGCAGAAACGATGCGGGGATGTTCCCGGGGCGGCCTGGAGGGCGACCGGTGTTGGGTCCGTGTTTGGTCTTTTCCCTCGGGTTCGCGTCGGTGGTCCGTCGGTCGGTGGTTCATTTTGTTTGGTGATGTGTAGGCTCTCAGGAAGGGGGCTTGGGGAGGGCAGGACGCCCGCGCCCTGGAGGGGCCGCCTCGGAGGGGCGCACGCCGCAATGGCTGGACTTTCTCAGGAGGAGAAGATCGCGTCACTCCAACCCGACTTCCAGGGTTTGCTGGACGCAAGGGGGGTTGACGCCGTCATGCAGGCGGCATTGTTTGACGCTGGGATTCCCTCGATCGCGATGCTCTCTGCAGTCGCGACAGATAGGGACGCGCTACTGGAGGTAGCGAGGGCGGAGTTGGGAATTGACATCGGCGCAAGGCCGAGGGATGCGATCAAATTCGCAGCGCTCTACTTGAGCTGGCAGTCGGCGGTGAAACGCCGGGTGGCGATGGATGAGCTGGACGCAGATGCCACTGCCCACAAACAACCGAAAGCGGTTCCTGGGGTTGAGATGCAGTTGTACAGGGCTGAGTTCGAGAAGAGGTTCTTTAAGCTCAAGGACGCGGAGTGCCCTGGGAAACCCAGCTTTGAAGATGTTTGTGAACAGCTCGACAGCGGCGAGTTCAGGCCCATGGCTTTGAGGCATTTCGGATCCAGGGCGGAGGAGGATGACGCTGAGACGGGCAGCTTGCACCTTGGGAAGGCAGGTCAGTTAAAATTAAGAAGGCCCGAGTTGAGACTTCCAATCCGGCCAACATGGAAGAGTTCAGGGCTAAGGTGAACTTGATGATCAACCACTTGATCTTCGCCAGGTTCAGGTACCCTCATAAGGCCTCACTTGAAGGGCTGACGCCTTTCACAGCCATCGAGTACTTGAACTACATTTGCAGTAAGAACGTGGCTCAGCTTGAGTCCTTAGTAGTTGATGAGGTAGCCCTGCATCGCCCTTCCCTCAAGTTGATCATGAGCTATGAGTTCCAGATGCGCAAGGAGGCGGTCGAGCAGGTCAACAAGGGCGACACGTGGGTGACAGCTCTCAGGGAGGTGGTGAAGAACGCGGATGTGCGCGAGCGCTTCTTTAGTACCCCACTGGCGGTGACCTCGGCCATGCAGTCCATCAAGGAGGACGCGTGGAGCAAACAGCGAAAGTGGCAAGACCGCCAGCATCCTTACGCCGAGCAGCAGAAGGGCAAGAGTAAAGGCAAGGTCAAGGGCAAGAAGGGGTCGAAGGGAAAATCGAAGGGGAAAGGTTCGCAGCAGCTCTACGCCTCCACACCAGACGGACGTCAGCTTTGTTTTGCTTGGAACAACAAAGGCGAGGGCTGTACAGGCGCTTGCGGTCGAGTTCACGCCTGCCGTGTTTGTCTAGATCCTGGGCGTCCCATGCACGAGCACGTCCACGACAACAAGGACTCGTGACTAGGGGCTGAGCCAGCCCAACAGAAGATTGAACAGATGCATGTACCCACTGAATTCAAAGTCCTTTATCTGTTTGCT